CCCTGTCTTCCTGAGCACCAGCCATTGAGTCCAGATGCGTTGTAACAGATACTTGCTACCAAGAGGTTTTGTCATTTATTTCCAGGCTCCAAGTCGAACTAGTGTTCCTAATCTTTAACATTTTACTTGAGAAGAACTAGGTAAACTGATGAGCCCCTAAAGTCTGCTTCTCAGTTCTTCTCTTCATTCTTTGCTTCAAAATTTCTCTCACAGAGCCAGGCATGGTAGTATAATATAGCCTGTAATCCCAGCACCCTAAGAAACTGAGGCAGGAGGACTGTAATTTGAGCCCAGCCTCAGCAATTTAACAATTTGAGTAGCTCCTGTCTCAAAATAAAATCTTAAAAAGCGAGGAGGCTGAGGAATGGAACTCTGGTAGTGGAGGTCCTGGGCTCAGGTCCCAGTGGTGGGAAAAAAGTCCTCCTATAGAATCCCCAGAGAACAGCTCATTCTTGGTGCATTTGTCTCAGTCACTGTTGCAAGCTTTTCCAGTTGCACATCAATCATTGCATTTTCACAACAATTTTCAGGCTATGTACAATTTCTAGATGAGAAAGGAGAGGCACAAAGAAGATATGCAACTTGCCTCATAGGCAAATAGCTGGAAAGTGGCAACATTAGGCCTTTGATGACTTTATGAGGTCTTGACTCAGTATAAAAGAGGGCTGGGGATGTAGTTCAGTCTGAAGGTTGTGGGTTCTGTCCCTAATACTTCGAATAAATAATTAAAGAACACCCTTTAGGTCTTCAACACAGGCAGATTACCACAGGCCTGCCTTCCTTACCATCATGATGACATTCAGGATTCTGGTGCTCTCCTCTCTCAGCCTCTGCGTGTATACTGGTGGCATTTGGAATGCATAGAGCCAAGTCACTGGTTAAGTAGGCTTTCCTGGGGCCACCTCAGGCCTAGCCATGTTTCTGAACAATTAGGTTCTTGCCAGTATTATCTGCTTTCAAATTCCTCCTGGTTTAGACATATCTCTAATTCCTGTGATACAGTTGCTGTCACAAAATAAGGACGGAAGGTTCAAACATGGTCGTCAGGAGCAGGAGGTGTATTCAGTTTAGGGTGTGTATTTAACATGTGTGAAGTCTTGGGTTCGATCTCCAAGACCAAACAAACAAAAATTAAGCACAACAACACAAAATGAAATGAAACACCAAGCCAAGCAAAAACCATTATGTGGCTTGTGCAGATCACACAGTAATTGGCAGAACTGACGCTGGCATTCCTCAAACACCTCAAGGACAAAAGTCTCCATCATTCGCCTACAGGATAGAAGCCAAATTCCCCAGTGGCAGGCAAGGTGCCATGCTATCTTTCCAGCTTTATCTCCTGTAGGGCTCCAGCTTGATTCCTGTGTTCTAGGCTGGCATGTCTGTACCCTCTCCCCCAATCCACAGGCTCATTTCCATTGCTGGTTCCCACGACTCAGAGGCTCTTGTTTTGTCCTCTATGCCTATTTAAATCCCCTGTGACTACAAGAAGGCCGTCCTCCACCTCATATGAGGTGCTCGGTATTGAGCACTCGATCCTAGCAGTCCTGTGTCTCCCTTGATAGCTTACTGCTCCTACCGGTCACAGGCATTTACTCACACAGCAACACACTAGTGCCAAAGCTTTAGTGACTCAGGGCTGACACTTGGCGTGGCGAAGCTGAATATTTTGACTTACATGTGTGTTAGACCAAAACCAACCTGGAGAATTTTCCCGGGAGCAAAAACAGCTTTCCATGGACAAAATGCCTAGTAGATGAAATTTATCACTGGTGCCTTGTAACACAGCTTCCTCTATATCCTGCTTTCTCCCTGCTCTGTACTTTCCAATATAGAAGCAATAACAAACATCTTACTGTGTGCAGATGCTTTTTAAAAATACTCCCCAAGTATTAACTAACTGCCCTTTGAAACAGGCATTCTTATTACCTCTCTTCCCTTTTACAGAGGAGGAAACTCAGTCATAGAGCAGTTAAATAAGTAAAGTCACATCACTGGGAGTCAAGATTAATCATTGTTTTAATATACTGTTACTGCCCTCCAATAAAGTAAAGAACTTTTCTGCTGTTGCCCAGTCTATTTCAAATCTTGATCCTCTTGCCTCAGCTCCAGCTGGAATTATGAGGGTACACCCCTCAACCCACTTTCATATATTCTGGGCGCAATGTTTTATAAAGATATGATGCTAACATATTTCCTCAATCTGTAGCTTATGTTTTCACTTTCTTAATGATACCTTTTAAAGCACAAAAGTTATGAATTTTAATGAAGTCCAATTAATCATTAGCACTCTTGGTCTCATATCTACTAAATTTTATCCAAGCCATATTTCAGAACTGTCCTCTCCCTACTTTTGGTATGTCCTGGAGATATTTCTAAGTCAATAAATTCAGATTTGATTCGTCATTCTGAGGTTTTTGTTTTTCAAAAGAGGAAAGGAGACCACAGGGCCAGGCTATTCAAAATATTCAGTGTGAATCTCAAGCTTGGAGTTCTCTTACCTCCCAGTTGGATCACCTTCTGCCTATTAGCACCTCTGTGGATTGGGAATAAAAACTTCACTTGTTTATGATTTCATCACAGCATTTATGTCTCAGTGTTGGTCATACAGTTTCAAATTCCTAAGTTTTCTGTAGGCTTAAATCCTTCCGTCACAAATTCTTACAAGGACCATATATTTCCCAGTAATTTAGGCTATGACAACTGGTTTTTCCTGCATGTATCTCATTCTGTAAAGCTGGACTGGAGCTTGAGAATGATTCCTCTTCAGTTTATGTATTAAAGTATAATTTTAAAAAAAAAGGAGAACAAACAGGGCATGGTAGTGCATGCCTGTAATCCCAGCACTCAGGAGGCTGAGGCAGGAAGATCACTGTAAGTTTGAGGCCAGCCTAGGCTACATAGTGAATCCTGTGTCAAAAAACAAAAAACAGCGAGAGTGAGACAGAGAGAAGAACATGAATATAGTGGATAATAATATTCTGTGTGTGTGTGTGTGTGTGTGTGTGTGTGTGTGTGTGATGTGCTTCTCTAGAGACCCAAATCAGGACACTAGAATGGTAGGCAAACATTCTGTCACTGGGCTGCATATCCAGTCCCTCTTATTTAAAATTTTATTTTGAGATAGTCTCATTAAGTTCCCCTGCCTGGCCCCAAGCTTCCAGTCTTCCTGTCTCAGCCTTCTGAGTCACTGGGATTACAGACATGGGTCGTTGACACTTGGCTGGCCTATGTGTTTTAGATAAACTCTTCCAAGGACTGGGATATCCCTGAATATAACAGTGGTTATCATTGAAGAGGTTCCAGGATGCACAGATGGTTGCATCCTGGTCCCTGTTGGGAGCAGAACTTCATTGCCTTCACTGGTATTTCATGAGGTTTTGTGCAAAGCCAGGAGCTTCTTTAGGAAAAAATTCTCAGATTTTGAACACTAATGGAGAAAATTTACTGAGAGAAAGTATCTGTGAATGGGCCTCGGAATTAGAAAGGGAAGGCAGATTAGAGGATTTCAGAGACCAGGGCTAACCATGCCCCACTACTAAGAGACAGCCGCTGGACAGCCTTTTGGAAGAGAAGTCAAGAGGGGTGGCCATGCTTCTTGGGAGAACTAACATTTTAAGGCTGTGGCTCAGCAGGTGGAAAGCAATTATAAACACCAGTAAAAAGGGAGTGGGGTGGGGAGGGGTGTTAAGGGCAGCCTCAGTAGGACACCTGTGATATTAGCAAGGCTAATAAACAGGCAGGTAAAGTGTCCACAAACAGTATATCCAAGCTGTGCAGCACTAAGAAATGCAGAGGAATCAGGCAAAGTGCTTGGATACTTTGCCTGAGGTGTCCAACTTTTTTCTTTCACATGGAAAACAATACCAGTCATTGCTGGCCCCTGGGGCTGTGTGTTTGGAACATCCAGGAAGTCTAGGCAATAGAAAGACCAGCTGGAAACCTGTGCAGAGATGCAAAGCTGAGGTGAGGAGCTGGCTGCAGCAGGACAAGTGCACGTGTGGGAAGAAAGGATGGATTTCGCTATGCACGTGCAAAGAGTAACTCAGACATGGTGGGGGTGGAGAGTGCATGTAGGAACCTTGGGAAAAGCTGAAACATGATGATGGGAGATTTTTTATATTTTTGGAGGTATATTTACCTACAGTAAAATGAAGAAATCTTAGGTATAGAAATAATCTTGATGTCTATCTTTTATCTGTATAACCCTTCCTTTCAAAACTGACTTTTCCTCTGAAGTGTGGTTGACACCTTTTTCAAACTTTTGAGTCTTGCTAAATTGTTCAGGCTGATCTCAAACTTTAGATCTTCTATCGCAGCTTCCTGCAAAATTCATTTTTTCCCCACAGTTTCACTTGCCGGCTGAATCTAAATGAAGCTGCCCCTAAGGCAGAAAACTATATATACACAGGAACTGAGAAGCAACTAGAGCTGGAATTGTATGGACCGGAAAGTTATTTAGAGCTATTAGGCTGGAATCCTATGAGCAGAAGAATACAGGTATAGGAATGGGGAGCCAAAAGCCTCAGACTTAAATTTTGGAGGCGCCTGGACCTGGTTTTATCTGCCTACAGTCCGCCCTAATGAACTAGAAGAATGCTTCAGGCCTCATGGGGGTAGTGTAGTCGAGTAGGGGGGAAGGGAGCTAGAAGAACCCCACGGGGTGGTCTATACATCCTCCCAGCAGCACGAAGGACCTTTTGAGCTCAGGCGGGAAGCTATTCCACAGCTCTAGCAGCGTGGCCTCTGTTACCTCGGGGGGTCAAGCTCTGAACCTCCGTGCGTTTGCAACGACCCTGCTGCAGCGCCCTAGGTGCTTGCAGCTGGTGCAAGCTTGCAGGTACAGCGAGTGCTGCGGCTGGGGTTGGGGGACAAAGGGCGTGGCCACGCTCCCATGGTCTTTCTCCCGCCTCTGAAATCTCGGGAACGTTCTGAAAAGTATCCAAAAGTTCTGAGCCACGCGCGCCAAAAGAAAGAGGGCGCAACCCCCACCACACTACTTCTAGCGAGGCTTGTCCGGAGCTTGCCACTCGGGCTGCACCTCCGGCTGGGCGCGCAAGCCTGCTGTGCCTCCTCCTTCCGTCCCTCGCCTTAGGCTGGGTACTTCTGCTGCAGCCTTCTGGAAGCGCAAGAGCCAGCCGCAGTCCGCGCTGCTTCTTAGGGCCAACATGCCCAACGAAGACTCATTCGGCAAGTCCTCCGCACCGTCGGACACCCCGCACGCCCCTGGGGCACCGCCGCAAGGCAAGGCGGCCGGGGGCTTTGGCAAAGCGGCCGGGGCGCTGCTGGGGGCGGCCGGCGGCTCGGGTAGCGGAGGCAGCGGGGCGGCGGTCGGTCTGGGCGCCACCGGCAAGAAATCCCCGCGGCTGCCCAAATGCGCGCGTTGCAGAAACCACGGCTACGCGTCGCCGCTCAAGGGCCACAAGCGCTTCTGCATGTGGCGGGACTGCCAGTGCAAGAAGTGCAACCTGATCGCCGAGAGACAGCGCGTGATGGCCGCGCAGGTGAGTTCGGCGCTCGCACTTTGCGGGCGCAGCCTCGGGCTTGGCGGGTGGCGCGCGGGACCGGGGACGGAAGACGCGGCCGGGAACCACCGACGGCCACGGCACTCCGGGGGCCGCCGCCGCCTCTGGGGGAGGCCGGGCACGCGTCTGGTCGGGGTTCATTCCGGTCGGAAGCCCCGAATCCCGAGACTCGGGTGGCTTCTCTACCCCGCCCCCCGCGGAGTTGCGGGGCGCTCGGCGCCAGCTCCCGACCGCTGCTCTGCAGAGGCGGGCGCTGCAGTCCCCGCGATCCGCGACCCCGCGTACAAGTTGAGTGTGATCTTGGAAAACTAAAGTAGGGCCGTGGGGTGACTGACTGAACTCGAGGCCTCGGCGGTGGGAGAAAGGGGCCCCGGGTGGCGGGCGAGCGGGGCGGGACCCCGGGGGTCTTTCCGGAAGAGTCGCCGCGCGTCGCCCGCTTGGCGCACCGGCCTCGCCCGCCGCCACGCGGGTCGCGCCCGCGCCTCAGCCATTTTGAGCCCTGGAGAAGCGCGGTCGCTAAACTGCGCGTCGCCACCCGAGCTGCTCGCCGCGGGTGGCTTGGAGTGCGTTTTAACGACGGCTGAGAATTCTTTTTTTTTTTTTTTTGGTCTTTTTCATTTTTATCGGTACCGGGTATCGAACTCACGAGCACCTGCTTGCAAGGCAGGTGCTTATGCCGCTGAGCTAAACCTCCAGCCCCGAGAATTCTTAAAAACATGTGCGAAGGGGAAAACGCGCGGTTTGGAAGTTTTGTCGTTCTTTTTAAAAAGTTTTCTTTTTAAAATAGCTGCAGCGGCAGGCTAGTAATTTAGCATCTTAGCGGCAGTTATGCCGTTAGTATCCTAAGAGAAAGTTTTAGAAAGCAATAATATAACATTCTTTCCACCTAAAAGTTGTTTCGTCTTTTTTGAGACAGGTTATTTAAAACGAAAAGATACGGAAGAAATGTTTACTGACAATGTGCTACTTTTGGTTAGGAACGTGTAAAATTCTCTTTTGAAAGTGATTTAGATGAGAAGGTAAAACAGGATCGCACAAAAGCCTAAAGATCATCTGCTTCCTACTTCCAACATATTTCTAAAAATATGCTTTAAATCGGTATACTTTGGCTTCATTTATTTCAAGGACAATTGCATTGAAAATACAATTTCCCCCTGTAGATTTTAGCTTAATTTGCAGTGAATGGAATGAATACACGGGGTGTAATGTTAAAATAACATCACAATGAGTCTAGTTCTAAAAATTTAAGGGCCCCTTTCTAAATTACACTTGTAGGTAAAAAAGAATTGTGACTATTTAATCGCTGGCGTATATATCTCATGCGAGGAGTTGTTGGGTGGCTTAAGTATTTGTATCCTTGTAAGGGGAATTAAATTTGAATAATTTTAAGAGGGGAACTATTTTCGGAGGGGTTGATTGCTCAGGTAAAAGCCTCGTGTTACTTTTAGAACGTGGAATTTTGACGTGTTCTACTAGAATCTTTAAAAATCTATATAACTTTTGGACATTCTAAAATACCGTAATTTGAGACTGATTATACATATGACTTTAAAATACTGGTTTTAATTAATTGTCACGGTTTTCCTTATTCAAAAAACTTTAACTGTGAAAGATCTTTTTAAAGGTGTCCTGAATTTATGGAATAATCTGTGCATTTTGGGTGTGTATGGGGTTTGTGTGACAGTTAAGAAGTTTGCAGATTTCTTGAAAACTTGTTCAAAGTTATTGATACTGTTTGGAAAACTGAGGGTTAGTAGAAGATTCAAAATTTAAGCTTAGCCTTAAGTAATTGGGTGTGGACTTTGGTTTGAGTAAAAATTATCTCCAATCATCTAGTTTTGACTGCACAATCTATAGATTATAGTTGTGCTTGTTTTGGGCAGTACTAAGAATTGGACCTAAGGATCCAAGAGATACCCCCAGCCCTTGCTGTTTTGAAACCAGGTCTCACTAGGTATCCCAGCCTTCTGGTTGGAATCCTCTTGCCTCAGCCTCCTGAGTAGTTGGAATTATGAGATTGCACCACTTTGCCCAGCTTTGTAGTGTAATTGTGTTTTTAGTTTACTGTTTTAATGTACTTTTAGGTTTGTTTTTGGGTCTCAGAGGTACAAGTACTTTACTTATTTTATGGTCATTAAATAGTTTCAGTAGAAAACATCTCGTTACATGTAGTAAACAAAAAAAGCAATTTATTTTCTTTAAGCCTTTACAAACTTTTAACAATGTTATTTAAAAGATGATAAATTGAGAAGGACCAGGAAGAGTTTCAGAGGTATGTCAGTTTCCCTATTATCTCAGTTGGTTGAACTTTCTTTTTGCCCAAAATATCACACAGCACCCTTGCCCTCTCCTTTTTTCCAACCTTTCCTTACCCTGGTTCTTCAGCCCTCTTCCCAATTGCTTTTCTATATGTTCCTTCTACCCTTGGGAAATAGGGCCCTGCAGAGTTTCATAACAGCCCCCCCCCCTTTCTTCCCTGTCCTGTTCCACATTGTTCTGGATTGTTCTGCCCTTTCTTTGTTGCCAGTGCAAGTCCTGCTTATCCTATTCTTGACTTTGTTGGAATACTACTACTGGCTGAATCTTACATTTTAAAGATACTTTCCTCTGAATTTCTTGTGTAAGGTTGGTGTACACCTCTTAAGTTTTGTCTGGTAGGTGATTGCTTGCTTGTTTCCTGTTTCTCCTAAATGGTGAAGAACTTGGAATTTAATTTAACTTTTATCAGTTGTTCCTGGTGCAGTTTTTTTTTTTTTTTTTACATGTTTGTAGAGTGCAGGAGTGAGTGATTCAGTTCTTCCTAATGTGTCCATGCTTTTTCTTCTGGAGACTGAATTCCCCTCGCTGGCTGATTCTGCAGTTCTTTCTGATCCTCCGTGGCTACCATGATTTCCTGATCGTCCTGCAGGCTCCTTTGTTTAACAGGTGTTTTGGAGCAACTACTCTGGGCCAGATTCCTACCTGAACCAGCAGGTAAAAAAAATGGGAAAAGAGAACAAATGAGAAAAAGAAATGAGATGCTTAGCCCTCAGCCCTGGAGCTAATAAATGATAGTGCTGTGGTTTTGGCCAAGCTGTGCAAATGATTTTGGCAGCTGGAGGATGACTCACTGTTTTGTGCTCTAGGTGGCCCTGAGACGGCAGCAGGCTCAGGAGGAGGAACTGGGCATCAGCCACCCCATTCCACTGCCCAGTGCTGCTGAGCTACTTGTCAAGAGAGAGAACGCTGGTAGCAACCCCTGCCTCATGACTGAGAGCAGTGGCTCCTCGCAGCCTACGCCAGCCAGTACACCTACTACTGTGGCCTCAGGTAAGCAGGGCTGGGTCTCCACCAGGCAGGTCTGAGGGAGGAAGAGGAGATGCTGCCAGGCGTAGGACCTTCTGAGCCTCTTGACACTGAGAGCTTAGAGGAGCTTCTCTGAAGGATCTCTCTGAAGATCAGATCTACTTTTGGCTATCTCACAAGATGAAGGTTCTACGAATGAAGGTTTAACAGCTTTCTTTTTCCTGATGATTGTTAGTTGAGAGTCAGAATTACAGGGATGTCAGGGAGGAGTGAGGTGTGTCACTTTTCATCTTGGCCCACTCTTCATTTGGGAGTCACCGTTGGTAGATCCTAGAACTGAACATCTGTTTTTCTACTAACAACTGCATTCCTTTGGGGAAAATGTCTGGGACAGTCATATCCTCGGTGTCAAATCTGAATGAACCTGGAGGAACATAGAAGGCGTATCCTGCTGCCTGGCATGCACTCTTGTGCTAAGTGAGCTGTTTGTGTGCCAGTTTGTCTTGTTTGTCCCAAGGTCACTCTGTTGGGTATCAGTAGTGATCCTTTCCACATGAAGAGAACTGAGGTGTGGGGAGTTAAGTGAGTGTCCAGGTGGGCTGAACTACAAGGTATGTGCATCTGTCCATCTGCTTCTGTCCTGCCTGAGCTCCAGAGGTCTGAGGCTCTCTGTTTGTGCAAACTCCCAGAAACATGTAGCTGTTTAGGTTTAAATGAATTACATGAAATAAAATGAACAAATCTGTTTTCTCTGTGCTCTAAGCACACATGTTGAGTTCTCAGCAGCCACATACAGCTAAGAACAAATCTTTTATTTATTTTTTGAGGCAGAGTTTTACTATTTGTTCATGCTTAATGCTGTACTTACTGAGTAGTAGTATTCAGAGTGGCCTTAAATTGACCATTCTCCTGCCTCAGCCTCCCAAGGGATGTGTGACACCATGCCTTGCTCTAACACAAAGATCCTATTAAGGGAGAAACTCAGGAAAATCATACTGAATAATACATTTCTGACTCAGAAAGTTTCACTTGATAGTGCTGGTATAGAATTCAGGTGCTCCAAGAAATTCATTCAGCAAATGTCAGGGAATTCTGTGGTTTCTGGCAATTAAATAAAGTAGATCCCCTTTATCTGTGAAATAGAGCTTTCAAAATCTCAGTGAATGAATGCTTAAAACCAAGGATATTACTGAACCTTCTATGTATATACTGTTATTTTTCTATATATATAGATTAAATGTAATTATTATTAAATAAAAATAAATACAAGTATATATATATATATATACATATACATACCTATGATAGTTTAATTTATAAGGTGTGTACGATAAGAGATGAACTGAACTAAAAATAAAAATGGACAACTATTAGAACATAATGAGAGTTGTTTAAAACCTACGAATTGTTTGTTTTTGTGATTTTCCATTTAACGTTTCCAGGCCATGACTGACTTCAGGTAACTGAAACTGCAGAAAGTGAAACTTGGGTAAGGGGCATGAACACACACAAAGATTCACAATGCATGTTTAGAGACCACTACGGCTCCATGAAATACACTTTACTGGTGGTATCGCCTTAACCCAGCTTTCCCAAGTTACTTTCTATACTGGCTAACCACTGGGCCAGTGTTGCTCAACTGTATGCCATGAATTAGCTTTGCAACTTAGGACAAGTCAGTTGAGTTTCCTGGACCTTTTGTGTTTGCTTCTCAAAGATGAAGGGAATGGTTTAGGGTGTCTTAAAGATGAGTCTTGGCCATTGTGAAAAAGGAAGTCAGCATGCATCAAAGGAGGAAAGTAGCTGCATCTGTGGGTCTGTAGATTCAGAGATTAACAAAGGACAAAGGACAGGTGGTCCCTGACTTGTGATAGCACTATGTCCTAAAAAACTCAGAGTGCAATGAAAATGTCCTAACTCAGCATGCATTTAATGTACCTAACCTACTGGGCATCACAGCTTAGGAACAGTGTGATGTAGAGTTTGTGTGTTTCTCTTCATAATCATGTGTTAACTGGGAGCTGCAGCTTGCCCCCTGTCACTAGCTTGGGAAAAAGATTGAAATTCAAAGTATGGTATTTATGGAAAACCTCTTGCTTTCGCTTTTTCTCCTGGATTAAATAGAAAAATCCTAACCTGAACCAGTACTTTTCTGTTTTGGATTATATTGTTCATAGTATATATTTAACATTTTCCCAAACTTTCCTTTCATTGTACTAAAGAGGTTCTGATAGGATATTTCAGAGTGGCAAGAAGGAAAGTTACAGAAAGCAGCCACAGAGGAGCAGGAGAGAAGGTTCAGGGTCAAGGCAGATGTAGGCAGATCCTTTGTTTGCCTGGGGAGCAAGTCCTGAGACCGAAAGGGAGGGGTCAGAGCCAGTGTGGTGTGCTGCTTTGCAAGGTAGGGGGTCAGACCAGGGCTGTGGGAGCATTGTCTTCCACAGAAGATGCTCATAGCTTGGGGCAGGGGCATAGGACTTTTGTCAGAACCCGCAGAGTGAGGTTAATTTTGTCACTAGTCAGGATGTGGGAATAAGGGAGGCAGAAATAGCAGTAGAACTGAACTACAAAATATAGAGACAAAGAGAGAAAACCTGAGAGACAGACATAGAAATGAAGAGACAGACCAGGTTTTTAGGCAAAGGAGAGAGGCTAGCTTCATAGGTAGTATGCCATGAATCAGTATATAGCTTAATACTGTTTAGAGATTGCATTTATTTAAAATAACTTTTGCAAGTAAAAGGTAAACATTCAGAGCACAAAAGGTGTTCAGTGAAAGATCATCGTTCTTCCGGTCTCAGCCTGAGGTTCTCATTCTTTTGTTCCAGGACTGGAACAGATTGTTTGCCATGTGTACAGGCGTGGGTGCCTATTTATCCTTTTCATATGTGTGTACTTATGTATGTGTACATAATAGTCACATATTTAATATGACTAGGGGTTCATGTTCCCACTCATTATAATGAACTTTCTGCATTTGTCACCGTTCGGAATTGTCAGTAGCCTAGAATTCCGTTACACAGGTGTGAAGGGCCGGGATTTGCAATGATTTACTGAGTGGCAAGAGTTGCAGATGTGGTGGTGGAATGGTCACAGCTGTGACGCTGCTCCTCTGGAGCCAGGCGCTAACCTTCTTCCAACATCTGCTGGCCATTGTCTTGCTGGGCCAAGGGCTTGGTGAAATTTAGTCAGTTTTTGACTTTGAAACATTTTTTCTTCTTTTGGTTCCTTAAAGTGCTAGAAATAAGAGTGAGAAATGCTAAGAATTGTTCCCAAGATTATTGGCCAAACTCTGAAGATACTCAAAATTGTATTTTCCAAGCCATCTTTCCTTTATTGGAGAATTGAGTCCTCTGTGTAGGATAGCATACCTTAGAAGATGGTCTCTCAGGTCCTTAGTTACATGATTTGCCAAATTGGGGCAACGGATTGGCTGGATAGTCCTCAGATGAGTTTTAAGACATTTTTGTTATTGTTTTCTTTTGATTATGTATATTAATGTGAAAAAAATAGTCTTTGAAGAAATTCTCTGTTTGTTGCTGGTTCTCTTTTGAGACAGTATCTTGCTCTGTAGTTCAGGCTGGCCTTTAACTTGCTCTGTAGTTCAGGCTGGCCTCACATGATGATCTTTCTGATTCAGCCTCCCAAGTGCTGGCCTGCACTACTACGCTTCATTGCTGGTTCTCATACTAAGGATCAGATATTAGGAGGTATACTAATAGCAAATAGTTTCTTCCCAATCACTTTTGTGGCATTTAGTAAAACATAAGTACTTTTGGCTAGAAAGGATAGGGAATTAATAGCAATTTCAGCATTTCTGCCATGGCTTCATCTTTTGAATTATAATACAAAATATACTTTTTTAATTTTAAGTTTTTACCTGATCTTTAAAAAATAATCTCAGGCATTCTTCCTCTGCATTTGAGCTTCTCGGTATTGTCGTATTCAACTTCATATTCCTTCAATTTTCTGTGTGCCCATAGAATACTGGTTTGCCCAGAATGTTTGCTGAGGTCTGCATAGTTCTTCATTTCTCTGTTCCTGTACGGAAGCTGTCAGATGAAGGGCTGCATTGTAGAGAATTCCATTCTGCCTGCATGTCCTTTGTGAGGACCTGAATGTTATCTCTCTTGGGCGCTCCCTTCAAGCACCCTGAACTTCCATCCACATGCACATCCATCCTCCCCCAATCAAGTCACTGCCTTTTGTATGGGGCCTCTGTTGGGGGCTATTCCTCCCCTTTTCCTGTTGGGTTGTGTCTAGTAGTGCGGGGTCGCTCCTTCACACCCCTTATTCGGCAAGCACACATTTTCCTTGTGTGTCCTGAGTGCTTGAACATTTTACGAAGAAACGTGACAGTTTAAAAATGGAGCAGTGTCCCTATGCAGTTTTTACCAGTAAAAGAGTTGATGTATTAACAGTTGAAGATCTTTATACATATTTATAAAAATATGTTTTATTTGTTCATTTATTTAGTCTTTTAGAGACGGGTGTCATTGTGCAGTTCAGATTGACCTTGAGCTCTCTTTGTAGCCCAGGCTGGTCTCGAACTTGCAGCAGTCCTCCTGTCTCAGCCTCCCGAATGCTGGGATTACAGGTCTATACCACCATACCTGGCATTTTCTGTTTGTTTTTTGGATAAGCTTTATTTTTTAAAGTAGTTTTCGGTTCAGAGAAAAGCAGGAGAAGGCACAGATACTTCTCATCTCCTGCCTTTATGCACACATAGCTGTCCCACTTCAGCGGATCCTCTCAGAGTAGTCCGTTTGTTACAACTGCATTGTCATATCATAGCTCCCAAAGTCACTGTTGTGCATTAAGGTTCTTTCTCGGTGTTGTGTATTCTGTTGCACAAATGGACAATTGGACAAATTTGTCTGCTATATTCTAGAGGACAAATGTATAGTGATATATGTCTTGCAGAGTACTTCTAGGGATCTCATCATCTTCACTGGGGTTATTTAAATTTAAAGTAATATTTCAGTATTTATCTTGCAGTTTTCTAACTTGTAAGGAAGGAAGCA